GTTGCTGTGAGCTGTGTAGCACTCTACCAAGGGTGATGAACTGAGACTCTACCTCTACAAAAAATAATAATAATGATAAAATAAAAAGTTAACAAGAAAACTAAAATATAGGCTCAGCGCCTGTAGCACAGTGGTTATGGCGCTGGCCACATGCACCGAGGCTGGCAGGTTCGAATTCGAGAGAATCGCTTAAGCCCAGGAGTTGGAGGTTGCTGTGAGCTATGACACCACAGCACCCTACTGAGGGCAACAAAGTGAGACTCTGTTTCAAAAAAACCCCCAAAACTACAATATGCTAAGCAATATAGGCTTTTAACAATCAATTTTAACCTTTACTTATAATCTAATAACTATTACCCGCCACTCCATACTGAGACCAGGTTTTTTGTAGAAGGTATTGGTTCTCTGTCAAGGTTATGAAGTGGGAGCCAAGACAAAACTGAGTCCAATATACTAATCCTGTGGCTTTGGGGCTATTGTAGGCAGGTTTGGGGCCACACACATTGATGGGGATCTTCCAGGCTCATTCAAGACGACATAAAAAATTATGTGAATGGCTGTAGAGGCTGAGAAAGCATCACTATATGTGATCCTATCTATTAATAGCAAGGGTTGTGACCTCTATTTTACAGATGTGGAAACAGTCCTCTGTAATTGAAAGGCTTGTTCTAGGCTAAAAACAGCACCAAACCTAATGCTGGGAAAGCTTCTCCTCTGCCCTCCAAAAAAGTCCTCTTTGCGTCACATCCTATGTGCATCTCAGTTATGGAAATTTAGCTATATGTGCTCAGCAAAATAATGAGAGTGATAAATTGCAATGTAGTTACACAGGCAGCTCAGGTGACTCTACCTTGCACCGTGACCACAGGCCTTGGAGTAAGCCCAGGACTGAGGTCACAGGTCTGCCATCCTTCAGCCCGCGCAGGCTGTGAGCACCCATTGCACCAGCTGACACTTTAGCGTTTCCAGAGCTCACAAACTCTCTCTTCTTCACATAAAACATATTTTGGCATGTGTACTTTTTCTCATATTAGTTACTACATGCTATACTTTTAGGAAGTTTTGAGTATTATTTGGACTCTGAAATATTTCTTAGGAGCTGACTCTGGAAACTAACCCAGCCATAAAATGCAGCATGGGGCTCAGCACCTGTAGCTCAAGTGGCTAAGGCACCAGCCACATACACCAGAGCTGGCAGGTTCGAATCCAGACTGGGCCTACCAAACAACAATGACCACTACAACCAAAAAAAAAAAATAGCCAGGCATTGGGGCAGGCACCTGTAGTCCCAGCTGCTTGGGAGGTTGAGGCAAGAGAATCATTTAAGCCCAGGAGTTGGAGGTTGCTGAGAGCTGTGATGCCACAGCACTCTACCCAGGTCGACAGCTTGAGGCTCTGTCTCAAAAAAAAAAAAAAAAGAAAGAAAGAAAGAAAACAATTCTAGGACACTTAAAATACTAAAAATCAGAATAATGAAAATATGTAAAGGACAAAGAAGAAAGAAAGTGATATTTTAAAGCATAACAAAGCAGTCAGAATTCTCAAATTGTGTAAAGTGAAAAATGATAAGTAGATGGTTAAAATTTCATCAAATGGTTTGACTGGTGGCCGGGCTAGGACCTGGTGTCCCAATTTTTAAAGGATGAAAGGCTTCAGAGCCTAGTGGCTAGTTCCTGTAAATCTGGGCCACTGGAAAGCTGAGGCCTTGTTTCCCGAATTTCCTGAAAAATAGTTTTTCAAGTAGCACCTTGAACTAGGAACCTTTAGATACTTTTGGCTCGGTGCCTATAGCTCAACCGGCTAAGGCACCAGCCACGTACACCTAAGGTGGCGGGTTCGAATTCCCAGCCCGGACCCACCAAACAACAATGACGGCTGCAACCAAAAAA